CTCATTAGACTTTTTTCTCTAGACTTAAGCTGGGATCTACCAAACTTCACCTCCTTCAAACAGCTGCAACAAAAAAGGGGTCCGGCAAGATATTTAATCTCAATGCGTGATTGTCGATAAGAACGTGGCCAGTGAGTACACCTACCAGAATCGAGATACACAAGACGACGACTTCGCTTATTTGCCAACCAGCATTAACACCAATAATAATGTCACCATGGAAATCCAACGGTGAATCACTCATGCGAACAAGTGCTACTTTGGACTGCCGGCAAAAATCAAAAGTAAAATATATAAACCTTTATGTCGTTGACAGGAAATTCGTTAAACAATGCAAAGCACGTCCGTTGTTAACACTAAATTGGCACTTCATTGAAGGCAAATGATTCAAGAAATGGAGAAATGGTAAACACTTAAGCTTTCTAATAACATTAAATTACTAAGATATTCAATAGTAAAAGTGACAGTGGCGAGACCAACAACGATCAGTGGTAACAGTGGTAATGAAAAGAAGAAAATAAGCAGTCAATGACTATAGTATTTAAGTAGTTAATATGAATGAATTCAATGCCAACTTTTTTGATAGCTGCAGCTTAGTAAAATAGGAAAGTCAATTAAGTCATTGTAAATATGCAAATAGGCACAACAATAAAATCATAGTAATAGGAAAATTAACATGATATTAGTAAATACATAGCCACTTGTTCAATGCATTAGTGTAAATGCATATTTATGTGCGAGTAATACACAAAAACATTAATTACATATTAATTAGCGCCACCGAGTTGATTTCGATGAAGAAGACACTATCCGGCGACGAATGAGCACAGCAATGCTGTCTATTAGTACTAAATATTTACTTCATAGGTACAAGTGTTTATTAGGCTACAAAACGGCAAGTAATACTCTCTGTGGTTTTTGTAGCTGAGTCTTTCGATTTCTTGGCTTGTGCCTGTCTCGTGTTTCCACCATGTTACTGCTGAGCGTCAGCGTCGTCGTTGTGCGCTTGATTGGCCAGCAGTATAGGCAGTGGGTCCGTCTGCCGGCTGACTGACTACTAGGGCCGCACGCCTGCCGGGCCACCTTAGCCGCCGCTGTCATTTGCGTATTTGAATTTGAATTTGAACAACAATAAAAATACTGCACAGCGACAACAACTCAAAGGTAGCAAAGAAAAAAACACACATAAAAAAACGGTTTCTTTAAAAAATGCAAATATATAAAAATCAACAATGTGCTAACATGTTTGTGTTGTTGTTGTTTTTGTTACGAGTAAATGGTGTTGATGTTGTAGTGTATTTGGTTTTTTTTTTTTTCATTTGCTACAGGTGGCGCTTCCTCCCTACAACTGCTGTACGCCTGTTAGCTCAGTTTCCGAGCGATCGTTTATCACTTCGATTTCATTTGAGAAAAAGTGTACAAAAAATATTGCATTGTATGTAGCGATGTGCGATGTACATACCATATGTAAACACAATCGATTGTTTATATGTATGTATGTATGCGCATTGTAAATAGAAAATTTTGCACTTGAAAATTCTGTGCGATCAATTGAATGACTGACTAACTGACTGACTGTTCATTCGCGAATAAATGCTGAGGCATGCGCAAGTGCATACCAATTCACATTTAAATGCATGCCAAATATATAACATGCATGCATGTATGTATGGCTGTGACTACAAATGAACATCTGTACTAATTTAAAAAGTCAATAAAAAACTAAATAAATTGAATTGAATTGCCATCGACATGTAAAAAAAAGATGTCACGCTTTCTCTGTTATCGGCGCCTGTGAAAAACGAGATCGGTATTGATCCGTTATCAGTGATCTTCAAGGTGCTGCTGGCTACTGCTGCTGTGACGCAAACTTTGATAGCATTTCCAATTTTAACTTAAATGATACATATTGCACTGCTGGCATACACATATGTATACATATGTACATACAGTCACATAGGCCACATAATGTATTTTTGACAAGTGGCTAATAAAATTGAATTACGACAAATGAACTAAACGTTTAGTAAGCCATATTTTGGATATATACAATAGCCAAAAGAGATATTCATAACAAAAATCGATATAAAACTTCGAGAGTTTTCGTCAAATTTCAAAATGCTTTTAGCTCAGTTATCAAATTTTTGCAATTTTTCAAGAAAAAATAAAATAAATTATTTAATGTTAGGTTTTCGTAAATTTTTTTTTAATTTTGTTATTTTGTATACAAGATTTTATAAATATATACCGAGGTACGTATGTACATTGCAACTTATATGAACATATATTGATTTTCTTACTTTATTAATAAAAACTAATCTTAAGTAATGAAATAAACTATATTTTATTAACGTAATCTGCATTTTTCTGAAGTGTAGCCCTTATAGCAGGTTTGGTACTTCGTTCGTGTGAGGCAATGTTCAGCGCATATTGGCTCCTTGCATTTGACGCATTCTTGCCAAATAACGCTCTTCTTTTTAGAGTCTCCGTAGCACATGTAACAACCAGCTTTTTGCAAGATGCGTCCTGTAGCATCTCATTGTGGCTCACGTTAGCATCAAATATCAGACATATCTATACATTTTATATATTTTTTTGTTCCTGCATAAAAATCCTCATCCCACGTCCAAAAAAAAAACCTTCATGAAAGCGAAGGTCGACTTATATGAATTTAAATTCATACATCAAATGAGCCTCAATATATGTAAGTCACATTGACCTCATATACGGCTCATTTTATTTACCTTTCAGCAAAAGCTGGAGCAAATTTTTGTTGTAATTTGTTTAAAAAAAACCCTAAGGTAAAGTCGCCCTTCCCTATAGGATTAGCATGTGGTACGAAATAACTTTTCGCATTTTCTGAATTGTGAATTTTTTGAAAACGCTGCAGTAAGTTAATAATATTTTCGTAAAATTTCCGATATGCAGGTTTGTAGCCCATCCAATTTTATTTCAATGAAATGCAAGTTTCAAGTGGCTGTAAAACAGATTTGATGCCAATTAGTCAAATCACAATTCCAAAAAATCCATTTGATTTGTGAATTGTAAGTTGTATTAAATCCCAAATAATATAAGTTTATTATTGGTTCGACGAATCAATTAAGGATTAAATTTTATTTGGTTCGTTGGATATATACAAAATTAAATTTATTTGTGATTTGATTCGTGGAGCAAAATTCGAAAATCGTACTTGTGTTACATAAAAAAAGTATTTTTTTTTTTTAAATTTGGTTGACGAATCAAATAGGAAAAAGTAGTAGTAGAAATAAATTTAATTTTTTTTTTGGTCGACGAATCAAATCACAAATATATTTTATTTTTTAATCTGTCCAATGAATAAAATCACAAACAACTTTATTTGTTATTTGGTCGATGAATTAAATCATAAATCAAATAGATTTCTTAATTAATACCAGATTAAAAATCAAAAACGAGTTTAAATTACGCAACCCCGGCCGCTACAGAATTTGGAGGTATTTTTTAAACCTCTTTTTAACCGACTTAAAAATAAAAAGGAGGAGGTTATTAATTCTTCGCATACCGCATAATTTTGGGCCACGTCAACTGATTTCTATGATTCTGGTACCTCAGAGGTGGTCTCATACTAATTGACTTAATATCCGATTATTGGATCATGAAGAAATTAACGCTTTTCTTAAATTTTTATATGATAACTGAAGTCGGTTTTGTTTTTTACTTAAAAATTACTTGTATATTATTTATTTCATATTTTGGTTTTACTGTTTTTACTTTTATATTTTAATTTGATTTTATTTTGTTAGGGGTATTCATTTAAACGCGTAAATGCCTTGTAATCGCTTAAACCTCATAAATAAACCGGTTTTCCATACAAAATTAAATAATTTTACGAGGTTTACCTAGTTACGAGGCATTTACGCATTTATATGAATTGCCCTAATATTTTATTACACTTCTTATCTTGTTATTTTAGTGTATTTTGTTGTATTCGATTTTATTTTGTCTTCTATTTCATTAAATTTTTACTTCTATTTTGCTTTGTTCCATTTTACTTTATTTTATTTTTATTTTTTTATTTTATCTTGTGTGTTTTATTTAATATAATTTTATCACGGACTGTAATGATTATAACGTTTATAATAAAAAACATAATTTAACCATTAAAATTGTATTTATAACTTTCAGATCAAATTTAAAAAATAATTGTTATTTTTGGATTTTATTTTTTTTCGATTTTTCTATGATCGTTTTACTTTGATTTTTATTCTCTCGATCATATTATAACCGTTATTTTTAGCTTTAATTTTTTTCATGATAACGGATTAAAATCGGCGAAAAATATCCCAAATATCGTTTATTTTTTATTTTTCACCGGCAAAATAAAAATCCAAATTTAATGATTATTCTTAATTGAAAAAATTTAAATGAAAAAAAAAACGATTTGGCAATAATCCAAAAATAAAAATCTTGATTTGTTGTTTTATGCAATTGAGTTTTCTTGTGTTTTATTTTATCTCAACCATTTTATTTTATTTTGTTTTGCTAAATTTTATGTGGTTGCTTTATTTAATTTTATTTTATTTGGATTTTTTAATATTTGTATTTTTTGCGTTTTATTTACTTAAATTTTTTTGTTTTTTATTTAACCTCGCCCTGTTTTATTTTCTTTATTTTTGGAAAATTTGTTTATTGTGTTATTTCATTTCTTTATTTAGTTTGTTAAATTTTATTTTACTGTGCTTTATTTTGTCATTTCGCTTTTTTGATTTTTTGCTTGAATGTATTTTAATTTTATTTCATTTCATTTTATTTTATTTTATTTAATTTTGTTTTATTTTATTAAATTGCAAATTTACAATTTATTAGATTTTTTCATATACTAGATATATGTACATACGTACATACATATATATGTATGTATCTTATATTCTTTTAGTTTGGTTTTTGTATCATAATTAAATAACAATTCTGTATTCATATTTAGTATATTAACTAATATTTTTAATTTTCGTAGCACTTACAGCCTCTTAATAATTCTGCGCTCTTGGCTTAGTTTGCAAATTTTTCGCTGATCTTCTATTCTGCTTTTCAAAACTCAGCCTTTTTTTACTTTTCCTTTTGTTGCGGTTTTTATGTACAAATACACATAAGATTCGTGTATATATGTACACTTTAACTGTAGCTAATTTATTTTTTATGTGTCAACTTGTTTGCAATGAACTTGAAAATATTGCGTATTTCCATGTACGCTCGCTAGTCTTTTTTATTTATTTTATTTTTTTTTTTTTAGTTTTTTCAATTACATCAACAACGACATCTGCACACTTTAGTCATCGGCTTCGACCTTCAACACCTGCGATATTATTTTTTTTTTCGCTGTTGTTTCGCGCAAGGTATTTCGTACTATCTATAGTATATTTTTCATAAACAAATATCAACAAGCAGCTCAATATGACGTTTTACGACGAGCTCGCTTCCCAAATTGCCACACCGCTTTTGTACGCTTAGTTAGAGTATGTCCGCTCTTAACGTAATTCAATTCACGACTGAGCGTTTTCAGCGTTCCACTGGCAGCTGGCAGTCGCGAAACTTTTCATTTGTTTATTAAGTATTCAACTGTTTGCTAAAGTATTTATTGTTGTTATGGTTGCTACTGCGCTGATCTGCTACTTGACTGACTGACTAGCTAGTTAGTCAGTCGGACAGTCAGTAAGTCAGTCAGTCAGTCAGCACCTCTGGCAGCTAGTCAGTTGCTTGCGCTGATCTTGCGCAGATCTCACAGATTTTGTATAAACATCTTACGAGTAAAATGCTTGCCAGCAAAGATCTTTGCTCTGCTCTCAATCTTACGTGAGCGTTTAAAGTTCTATGGCATGTGACGTCACTAGACTTGTGAGATTACATGCCTACATATACTAGGTTGGAAAATAAATTATTATATTTGTGTATGATTTGAGGCAATAGCAAAAAAAATAATGTAATTTACATAGACCGTATCCAGAAATATTTACGTAATAAGCTTTGCATGAACGCTTCGAGTGAATTTATATGTCCATATGTATATATGTATGTGCATTAGGCTGGTCCATAAATTGTTTCCTCACAAACCCCCAGAACTTGAGAATATCAAAAATAAGAAGACTCTATTTTTTATTTTTTTTTTTTGAAATCAATTGATATACATATAAACTGTGCCGCTGCACAATGCGGCCAAAATCCAAAAATGCGTTCAAAATTCGAAGATTTAAAGAAATGATTAAAAATTTCGTACGAGGGGGTTTTCGGCGAAATTCTAAATGGCAGATCCAGTAAGGCGTCTGGTAAATTTCAAACTTTTTAATTAGATTTCTTAAAAAGTTTGAAGTAGCTAGGACTTACTGTTGATTTTTGACATTTTTTTGTTGACACTGCCAGTCATTTTCTTCCATATGAAGTAGGTTCGATGATATTAAGAAATGTTGCTCATTTTCTTCTACAAAAAAAAAATCCAAAAATCAACCGTAAGTCCCAGCTACTTTAAACTTGCCCGTGATTATACTTAAATTAGCTACAAAACTGCATATTCCAAATATTTCTGTGAATTCTAATTAAAAAGCTCGACATTTTTACATACTGGTGAAGCTAATATGTATAAGCGCGTTAAAAAAAGTAAAAAAAAAATTTCAGAGGCAGATTTGGGCAGTTGAATTGTATTTAGTAGCTACTACTTATTTAAGTAGCCTCTAATAGGTTTATAGGTAGCATCCGACATTGTGTTATTACCGTTTAATTTAACAACTAAAATTTTGTTAAAAAAAATTAACAAAAAAATGCCATTATATTTTTATTTTAAAAAAATTAGTTATTTCATGAGTTAGTAACCCAATCACGCACGTACAGCTCAACGGATTTGTTAATTTTTTTTTTCATTCTACTCGATGTTTCCTGTCGGCTTGTGGTAAAAAAAATGTTGAAAAATAACGTTACCAGCTATTTGAAAATTTATAATTATTTAAAAACTCAACAGAATTTTTAAACTTCCAACTAAAAACAAACGCGTTTGAAGAGAATTAAAATAAAATATCTTCGGTTAACACCCTTTTAAAAAAATTCATTGAGGTTGTTCACACTTGCTTGGTTATCGAGTTATCTGGTCAAAAAGTATTATTGAGGTTGTTCACACTTACCTGGTCAAATATTATTATTGTGTAGTGTATTTTATTGTTGTAAACTGCATAAAAAATATAATCACATAACCATATAACCTGAATAAAAGCGTTTGAATAGAAATAAAAAAAATATTTAGGGTTACCAACATCTAAAAAATACGAAAATATTAAAAAATTTAAACTTATTTAATACCACAATGTGTTCTTTTTAACGGCGGCTTTAGCTGATTGGTTAGAGCTGCGTACTAGCACTCCCCTGGATTTTATAGCTATTTACGAAAACATATGTATGTATGTATACAGCCCGGTTCACTTGAATAGGTACATACATATTTTTTCCTCAAATCTGATCTTATATCTGGATTTTTGGGCATCGGAGAAGTTTGTTTTTGATCTCATATTGAGGAATGATCAATTTACAAGAAAAATGGCGAAAATTGAGAAAACACCTTGATTACTTTGGACTTTATTCCACGTTTTATCAAACAAATAATTTCCATTAAGTTTAGGTACTGTGAAAAGGACGAACGCCGAAAAAATTTGACTTCGCTTCGTTATCCTCGTTTTTACAGCCCCTGTAATGCGAATCGGTGCATAATTTTGCTAGCAAAATCCAAAACAAGGTGCGAAAATATGTCGAAACTTGAAATATCATCTCAAATGCTCTGGACTACGAATTCGCAATTTAGACCGTCATACTCTCTTCTTGATCATGGAGGGGAAACAAACAACGTTTCGTCTTTTCAAAAATCGTGACAATTATTATTAAATCCGTTAAGGCCATCAAAATTTAATAGTTAACAGTCAGAAACATACAAAAAGCTAATTTTTTTTTTGTATATCGATGGCTGAGTGGAAGATCGACCTATCTCGGCAGCCAGTTCGAAAACATTCTATCTCAAAAAACTTTTCAAGAACGCCCTATTTCAGAATTCGTTTCAAAAACGCCCTATATCAGCATATTTTCAATACATTTTGAAGTGAGATAGGGCGTTTTTGAATCGGCAGCTGAGATAGGGCGTTTTTGAATCGGCAGCTGAGATAGGGCGTTTTTGAATCGGCAGCTGAGATAGGGCGTTTTTGAATCGGCAGCTGAGATAGGGCGTTTTTGAATCGGCAGCTGAGATAGGGCGTTTTTGAATCGGCAGCTGAGATAGGGCGTTTTTGAATCGGCAGCTGAGATAGGGCGTTTTTGAAACGAATTCTGAAATAGGGCGTTCTTGAAAAGTTTTTTGAGATAGAGCGTTTTCGAACTGGCAGCCGAGATAGGTCGATCTTCCACTCAGCCATCGATATGTTTGGACCACCCTAATGCAAGCGCATACATGCACAGCTTGGTTTTCTGTTGATCTCATATTTTTACGTTAATTGAAAAGTAATAATTTTTGCCCGATATATTTTTTGCTACTTTCTTAATTAAGTAGAATGCATTCGGGCAATGAAAAACGAATTGGGTTTTTAAAGAAAATTTAATTAACTTCCATGCCTTTGTCTTACCAAACAGTTGCAAGCTTTCATACTGCACTGCTGCTGGGTAATGCAGCAGTTGTCAAACCTGACAGCTTTTTGTTTTGTGAGGCCCGCACTTCCCTTACTAGGATCACCCTAAATAGAGGTACATAACCCCAATTGGCTTTTAGACAAGGGTTTTCACTTGGTTCCTTAACGATACGTGTACCAAAAAAGAAGATTTGTAATCAAATACAGGCTTGCTAAATACAATAGATCATCGCAATAACTAGGTGTTGTGCTGCCTTCTCTAAATATTAATTTAATCTAGTCTACTTAAATACTTGGCATATATGTATGTGTGTATATGTATGTATGTATGTACGTATAAATGCATGCATTGACCGCCTAACATCGGCATCAGTTGCATGCAACACCTGCAGTCACTGAATGACGAATGAAATATTGTATGTTCATACATATGTAATACTGGCTACGTACACATGTATGTATATGTATGTATGTACATATGTATGCAAATATGTAGCATATCTTGATTTTCACTCCCGCGCAGTGTACTTAAGATTTGATCTTTATGTTGCATTTCCAAGTACTCGTACGTTACTGTGAAGTGGCAACTATCAAATAAAATCAGAATAAGTAGTTCTTTTAAACGATGGCAAGGCTGTTGAACTGGTACTTGATACCTTGTTTACAGAAAAAAGTTTTAACTCCAAACAATCAAGATTTGCACTAGCTTACATAAGTATGTACATTAGACCGCGGCAAAAAATAAAAAAAAAATAAAAATTTGCAATGCGATCGGAATATGACTCAAATCGTGGCATTTAGAACAGTAATATAGTATACTATAGAGGTATGAAAAAAAATTGGCCGCTACACTCAGACTTTTGAGTCATGAAATTTTTGTTTCTCAATTACACGAATTGATCTAGTAAAACTGAGTATGAGGCATTGTTCGTATAGCTAACAGCTATCAAACCTGATTTATTTGCACTCTAGTTATTTTTAAAAGTTCATTTTTGTGCCATAGTGTAATATTTTTCGTTTATTTTACCAAAAATATTTCCGGCAGTAAATTTCATCTTCAGTTTGATACCCATACAGCGATATTCAATATATCTTATCAATTAAATCGGCCTGTTACAAATTTATTATGTGTATAGACTAGGGATGTTGCGAATATTTGCATAGAAAAATTTAAAAAAAAACTCATTTCTTCAATAGCGTGCACTTGTTTCCCACAAATACGAAAATCTCAATCAATCAATTAAAAACAAAACAAAGTAATGTCATGAACAAATCAACATTAAAAAATCAATATCCCAGATTCATCAGTTGCCAGTTTTTTTTTAATTTTCATCGAACATTTCTTTTGTGGATCGCATTTTTATCGTATCACTTCTCCATAGTGGTTATGTCCTGGTGGAATCGTTCGACATGCTCTTCGCTAGTGTTTTTTTACTAAGTTTTTTTTTTTTTTAATTTGTCACTCCCTCTACTCAAACCATCGGCATGAGGTAGAATCCATCAGACGAATTGGATTTTCATTACTACGTGGTTTTTTGTTTGTTCGGAAAAACTAATGGCGTTTTCGTTTCTACAAAAAATCTTGCCTTCTCATTGCCCTCTTCTCAGTATTTATTAGTAAAGGGCAAGGTTAAGGTAACATTTTTCGGTAGAAACGAAAACGCCATAAGTCCAAAATTTTTTGAAATTTGCCATTTTTTGACACTTCAACAGTTTTCTCAAAAACTGGCCGTGCTAGAAAAATTTTGTAAATGCACTTCGAATCAGCATCAAAAAATTTATAAAATGAGGTTGGCCCCGTTTTTGGGATAAAATACGACCAAATTTTGTTGAACCGTGTAATTTATAAAACGATGACTTAAGTTGATTTTAGCTTTATAATATTATTGCTAACATTCGCATTCGCACATTCGCATACCGTAAATTCGCATTCGCATTCGCAAATGTGAAAAATATGACATTCGAAACATTCCTAGTATAGACTTAATTTTGTTTTTAATTAGGCGGCCGCTGTAGTGTAGTGGTTAAAAGTGCGCAATCCCATTCCGCATGGTCTGGGATCGAGCTGTTTCCGGCTAACATCAAAAAAATAAAAGAAGAGTGATCGAGTGTGATCGATCTGTCCATGATTCGGAAGGTGTAGAAGGTGTAGTGGTTTCCAGGAATATGTGTAGAGAGATTACCTGCTGCCATGCACAAATTTAAACTGGCTCTGAGCAATGACAAGATCTAAAGGTGGTGCAGGACGAAAGAGGAGCGAGTGGAACATATCCGCTGCGAGTGCCCTGCCATTAGCGAAATGCGAATTAGTCTACTAGGAGCAGGCTTTCTGACTAATCTGGAAGCCGCTACCAAAATAGGGTACAATAGGGTAGATGTATTGCTCCTGGTACTCAGTGATTAGCTGTCT